CCTGCATCCCTGGACACGAGGGGAACTAGAGTTTGACCCGGATCCCAGCGCCCTGGACAAGTGTGTTCCCAGGAGCACACACCTGTGGCTCTATCCAGCCCATCCACCGCTCCTTTACCCCCAGGGAGTCCCAAACCCTCCCCCAGCTCCACAGCATCTGTCCCACAGCCCAGCCCAGCTCCAGGCTCTCCCCCAGCGCTGTGTCAGCTCCAGCCCTGGCAGAGCTGCAAACACCCCCCCAAGCTCAGCTCCCCGGGCTCCTGAACCCCCAAAACAAGGCTCAGGCTCACCAACAGGGACCAACCTGCCCCACTCAGCACAGCCCAACCCCACAGCTCAGGGATCCCAAGCTCACCTGGCCCTTTGCCCCTTCCTCTCCACCCTTCCCAGCACGCAAGCACCAGCCTGCAGTGGGAAACAGAGCCAGTGCCCAGGGAGCAAATGCCAACAGCTAGGAGGAGAGAAACGTGTCCCTCTGACTTACCCCACCCCACGGGCAGCACCAGGTGCCCCCAGTGCCGGTCGGTGGGGCTGGAGCTTGTTGCCTTTGGCTGCTCAAACTCCAACACATAGGGCATTGCTGGACCCAAGTCAATGATTTTCCCTGTCCTTAAAGAGAGGAGAACAAGAAAATTAAGTGCACTGGGGAAGTCAAAAGCTCTTGGCTTTCACCATTCTCGTCTGATTACTCACTACAGGTGTTTCTTCCCTAAAACCCGCTCTTACCCCACCACCACCCCCACCACACGCCCCCGGCCGGTCCCTGGCCACTGCCCTGCCCAGCGGCCCCGAGCGCTTCCGGCCCGGCCCGGCCAACGCCTCGCTCTCCGCGGGCGCCGCTTCCCAGCCCGCCCCGACGGCCGGGCCCTGCCTCGCAGTCGCCGCCTGGCGGACACGGCCGGGAGCGCCACTGCAGCCGCGTGCCCCCCCCCTTGCAAGATCCACGGCGCCTTTCGCAAGTACGGGCCTTTCTTCCCTGAAACCTGCCCTTCCCTAGGAAAAGCTGAGCAATTCACAGAGTTGCTGTTTCTAGCCCAGCTTCCCAAAGGATTTCTCTCTCCCGGCGGCAGCGGCGGCAGCAGCAGCAGCAACGCTCCCCAAGAAGCCCTGACTGAGGCTTGGAATTGACACACAAGCCAAGAGCATTAACTCGGCCCCAAAACACTCCACAACCAACCAATTTAAAGTCACCTTTGTCTCATCCCCCCGCGCAGGCAGAGGCTTTGGGATTCCAAGGCAAACCCCGAAAGGCCCAGAAAGCAGCAGCTCCTCAGCCCCACCACAGCCTCCCCCAGGGTCCCCCGGCTGGGAACCGAGCTACCCAGCCCCTGCTGTGCCGCACAGCACGTGGGGGGATGACTTTTGGCATCCCTCCCTGGCCGCTGCAGAGCAATGCAGGCATCGGGGCCAAGTCCTGCCCGGCCCCCAGGCAGTGCAGACAGTTCAGCCTCAGCAGTGGGCTTTTCTGTCTCTTGCTTCCTCTCTCATTTGGAACCAGACGGTGAGGAACAAGCCCCAGGCAGACAGCGCGGGGCCAGCTCCAGGCACAATCAGCACCGAGCAGCAAGGCCTGGGCTCGCCAGAGGCCTGGGCCTTCTGATGCCAATTTTACCCCCAAAAAGGCGCAGAAAACTGCTCAGAGACAAAATTTAGTCTTTAAGCAGCCAGGTATGTTTATTAAGCAACGTTGGAGAGCAGCCAGCTCGCGCTGGACAAACTGCTCTGCCTCTCCAGTGAATTTACAGGTTTTTATACCATTTTTACAGGTGATTGCAACATGTTTACATAAATATTCATATGATTGCAACATCTGATTATAATATTCATAATAGGCGAAGTCCCCCTAGTGGAGTCGGGGGCGTGGTCTTCAATTTGGGGAGAATCTAGGAGGGTCGTTCCTGTTCTTCATCCTTATCAGCCCCTGGCCCAGGCTCCATCATCTTCATGAACTTTTCGACTTTCTTGATTTTGGCAGACTTCATGGTGTATTTTGCAAGATTCTTGGACCCAAGTCCTATTTTGCCCCCTTATCTTACTCAGGTTGGGGGGGTGTGTGCATTCTTTCAGTGTACAGTACCATCTATCCTCTATCTCTAAGTGCTGGCAGTGCATCCTAGCTAAGTTTTGGCAAGGTTCTTTGTGCTTTCGTTTATACTTATATTTTTATATCCTGCTTATATTCCTATATTCTACTTATATTTTGACTTAAGGCTTTTGTCTGGCTTCACTTCCTGGTCCAGGCTCTGGGCTTCCTTTGCTTTCTTCTGCTGCAATTCTCCTGCCCCGGCAAGTGTTAAAAGATAGACTGCCCGGTGAGACCTGCCCCGAAACAGCAATCAGTTCCAAGGCCAGAAAATCTCAAGGCCACACTCAGAAACCCTTCCATGAGGCCCCCAGAGAAGTCAAGGGGAGCTGGGATTCCCTGGAGTCCCAGGGAACCGAGGGGAAGGTGGGAAAGGGGCAGAGAGCAACCCCCCCCAGCTGCTTCTCACTGCAGCCCCCGCGGCAAGTGCAGCTGCCCTGGGATTTCATGCCCTCTGTGTCTCTTCCATTGGGGAAAAGGACTGGGATGCACTGGGAGGGACTGGGGGCAGTGGGGAGGGACGGGGATGGGACTGGGGAGACTGGAGAAGGACTGGGGGCACTTGGGGGATTTGAGCTGGGAGTGGGGTATGAGAAATAAAAAATCTGGTTTTATTATAAGTAAAATGAATTTAGTGGAAAACAGTGGGTAGTGGAGTTTTTCTTTTCTTTCATTTAATTCCAAAGTTTTTTTAGGCACCTTGTGGAGACTGTAAGGTGAAAGGCCCATCTGGGCCTGACGCCAGGAAAACGTTGCGGTGGGGATAGGGAAAATTCATCATCATGGCTAGGCTTCGCAAACAAAGATTTGGGAAGGGCTCTACTCACGTTTGTTGCAGGTGCGTTGGTGGCTAAAAAGGCCAATATGAGACAGACACGTCCAGTTGCAAAAGGCACAGCACAAAGACTCCCTAGATGGTAAATTCTGCAAGGCACGATTCTTTCTGCATTGTCTTTTCTCCTCAAGGGTGATCCTGCTGCGTTCTCAAAGGCATCAGCAGCATTACAGATG